ATGATAAGAAGCTGACTAGTATATGTGCTCCTGCTTTAAAGACAACTTAGGGCCAGATGCCACTGGCTCAGACTATAATCTAGCTACTGAGGAGGCTGAGATCTGAGAGTTACAGTGCAAAGCCAGTCCAGTCTGGAAAGGCTGGGCGATTCTTATTTCCAATTAACCATCAAAAAAGCCAAAGTGGAGTTGTGGCAAGTGGTAGATCATTAGCTTTGAACAAAAGCTCAGAGGCAGTGCTCCGGCCCTAAATTCAAGCCCCAGGACTTGCCCACTGCATGTGCAAGCCGACCCTTACACCCCTTGTTACCGCCCCCACACACCCACACAAGACAAGGGACAGCGCTTTAACCCTGAGTTCAGACAAAAAAAAGAAAAACAAAAAACAAGTAACATATTTTGGGGAAAACTACCAACTAAGAAAGGCTCTCCAGAGCTGGAGGTCTGACTCAGTTGGTAGAGCACTAGCCAAAAAGTAAAAGCAACAGGTACTGGGTTCTTTGAGTCCTGTTCTTAGGCAGAAGGGAGGGAGGCAGGGAGGGAGGGAGGGAGGGAGGGAGGGAGGGGACGGAGGGAAGGGAGGGAGGGAGGGAGGGAAGGAGGTAGGGAAGGGAAAGGGAAAAGGAAAAGGAAAAGGGAAACTCTTCAGTAACCACAATTGTACAACTTGTTCCTCTGGAAGTTTACTGTGAAATACAGTTCATATTTCTTTGTTAAAAATTAAAATAAAAAAATAAAGTTAACCAGATGCCAGGTAAGACAACATAAGCTCATAGGCCCAGCCAATTGGGAAGCTAAGACAGGAAAGTCTCTGCAATCCAGTAGCTCAAGGCCACCCTGGACAACACAGTGAAGACTGTATCTTAGAGAAAAAGTCAAACATATTAAACTGCAGAGACCTGTAACTTGAAACAGACCTAGAGCTGGGTGGTTCACATCTGTAATCCTAGCTATTCAGGAGGCTTTGATTTGAAGACTGAAAGCAGGAAAGTCTGTGAGATTCTTATCTCCAATTAACCACCAGAAAACCAGAAGTAGAGCTGTGACTCAAAATGGTAGACTATTAGCCTTGAGCTGAAAGGGCTCAGGGATGGTGTCCAGGCCCTGAGTTCAAGCCCCAGGACATACAAAAATAAAGATAATTAGAATTCTATTCTTATAGGGAATTTCAATAAATTACTACTTTTATATTAGAACAATACCTTGCCTAGGTGTTTTCATAACAAATTTGTTACTTTTGTTTTCATAACAAATTAACATATAACTTTTTATTAAATTTGGTTACTAAAATAGTGATATAAAAACTGTCAATTTACTAATTTAGTCTTGCATCTGACTTTTGCATCTTATAGGTTAACCCTGATACAAAATAATCCAAACCTCATAAAGTTTGTATATCAACAAAGTATATAGCTCTGAAGGACAATAGCAAAACCAATTAAGCAGTGTTTAAAGCCATAAAGCCTTTTAATAAGCATTTAACAGCTCTGTGTGTCTGCTTAGACACTGTGAGACATGGTCTCCCTGTGTAGCTGGCCTAGAACATACAATGTTCCTGTCTTTGCCTCTGTAGTACTAAGACACTAGTCATGTACCAACACACCCAGCAGCACAGCTACTATAACCAGAGATAATGGGAGAATTGGGCAAAACACACAGTCACAACCAAGCAAAGAAGGGGAGAAAATAGCTTACGTTTAAGGTATAACTAAAAAGAAACAATTACCTAAAAATCTCAATTTCTAAATTAATGAAAAGAATAGCGTGGGGTCAAGGGAAGAAAGTAAACAAATGAAGAAGGGGAGAATGCAGTCAAGAATTCAACGTCTAAGGCTGGGAAGTTGGCTCAGTGGTAGAGCGCTTGCCTTGCATGCATGAGGCCCTGGGTTCAATTCCTCAGCACCACATAAGCAGAAAAAAAAGCTGGAAGTGGTGCTATGGTTCAAGTGGTAGAGCGCTAGCCTTGAGCTGAAGAGCTGAGGGACAGCACCCAGGCCCAGAATTCAGGCCCCACGACCGGACCAAAAAAAAAAAAAAGAATTCAATGTATAGGGGCTAGGAAGGTGGCTCAGTGATAGAGTGTTTGCCTTGCATGCATGAGGCCCACATAAGCAAAAAGAAAAAAGCCGGAAGTAGTGCTGTGGCTCAAGTGGTAGAGTGCTAGCCTTGAGCTGAAGAGCTGAGGGACAGCGCCCAGGCCCAGAGTTCAGGCCCCACAACCAGATTGCCCCTCCCCAAAAAATAAGAATTCAATGTATATATCCTACAAAATTAAGAAATAATAATAGCAATTTGATCATTTTCATGATTATTCTTTAAAATCCTACAGCATAAATTTGTTTAGATTCACCTCTTTTGAATATACTTAATAAGGATTCTGGATAGGAAACATAATGGTTATCATTCTCATACTGCTTAATTAAGAAGGTATCCTTGAGTCTTAGAAAAATTGTTCTGTTTCAAGTATCCCTTCTAAAAAGTATCATTGCTTTTACTCTTTGCATAGAAGCTCATATAATGAAATAAATTTCATGGCTCGCTTAGACATATATATAAAAGTAAAACAACAGCAACAGTAATAAGGAAAAAGTAACTTTGATGGCTAATGATAATAATTTCAGTTCCCCAGTGACTCAATTGGGGAATAATCAGAGGCAAGGCTGTTGTCCTCAGGAAAACATCCATAACGGAATCAGGAAAGAATTAAGTGAACTATTACAGCCATGAACTACAGTCCTCAGTGAGGTAAGAACACAGGTGTCTCAGGACATGTGCACTCACTCACTCACTGCTTTTGCCCTCCATCGCAAATCTGAAACCAGAGGCCCTGGCCATCATGCTTTCATCTACTGGCCTTCAACCGTACCCCATTTTATTATAAAGAATGCTCTTCTGCCTGGACTCTGCTCCTCAGTCACCTGCTAGAGAGGCTCTCACTACCCTCCTTTAAAGAAGGGGGCATAGGGGATGAGAAAGGGAAACAAAGGAGGAGGCAACAATGCTTGATAATAAATGTACTCATTACCTTGCCCATTTAATTGTAACTCCTCTGTATGGTATTTTCAAAATTAAAAAAAAGAAGAAAAAGAAGTTCACCCACAACTAAGCAGCATTCGATAAGCACTTGTTGAATTAGTTACTTTCAGTAATAAAAAAAAAAACAAATCTGACGACAATTTAAAAACAAGTATGCATATCAACAAAACATCTGATACTCAATCTCAATTTGAAGTCTATAGAAAGAAACAGAAGTTCTAACTTTTCAGTCAGATTTTACATTTATTTTGTCTGCTTCTGGAAATGAATGAGTAAAACATGGCAAACTCCAAGTTGACATAAAAGTGTATCTTAATTCTGAGAAATCACAGCAAGTATATTATGATTCTGTCATACAGAGCCTGTGAAGATCTGGTGATTCACAAACAAATACAAAAGTAATTTCACTACCACTAGGTTTTAAGTATACAGGCATCCTAATGCATAAACACTGTATTTTAAAGTATAAAACTTCTAAGAATAAATATACAAATGAAGGTAACAGAATTCCTGCTCTACAGCATCAAATCCTATCATTGACTAAATAAAAGTTAGCATTTAGAAATGAAACAATTAAAAGGGAAGCCAGGTAGAGTCACAATTGTAGTTCCAGGTACTCATGAGGCTGAGAAAGCAGGGTCCCCTTGAGCCTGGGCAACACAGCCAGTGGGGATGAGGTGGTGGGGAGCACAGGGAGAAAGGGCAGTAAGAAAGGGGAGGGGGGGGCACGGAGGAGCCCTTGTGGACATCCAGGGCAGGTTGTCAGGCGTGGCTGTGTCAGCACTCCATCATCACTACTCTCTTTTTTGTCTTTTTTGTTGTTGGTGGTCGTGGGGCCTGAACTCTGGGCTTGAGTGCTCTCCCTCAGCTCTTCAGCACAAAGCAAGCACTCTATCGTTTGAGCCACAGCGCCACTTCCGATTTTCTGAGTGGTTTATTAGAAATAAGAGTCTCTCAGCCTTTTCTGCCCAGGCTGGCTTTGAACCTTGATCCTCAGCTCTCAGCCTCCTGAGTAGCTAGGGCGATAGGCGTGAGCCACCAGCGCCGGGCTACCACTGCACTCTTTCAAACTTTTTTGGGGTGCCAGTCCTGGGGTTTAAGCTCAGGACCTGGGTGCCATACCTGATATTTTTTGCTCAAGGCTAGCAATCTAACACCTGAGCCACAACAACCCCTCCAGCTTTTTCTGCATAATTTTTAAGAGTCTCACGGCCTGGGGGGGGGGGGGGGGGGGGGAGGAGAAGGATTGGGATTGGGGGGGAGGGGGGAGGCTGGGAAGGGATGTGAAGGGTAAACAAAGGAGGAGGCTGCAATGCTTGGTAAGAAATGTACGCATTATCCTGCCCATGTAACTGTAACTCCTCTGTACAGTATGTTCACAAATAAAAATTAAAAAAAAAAAAAAAGAAATGTACTCATTATCTTGCCCATGTAATTGTAACCCCTCTGTACAGTATGTTCACAAAAAATAAAAAAATAAATTAAAACAAAAAAAAAAAAGAGTCTCACGGCCTTTTCTGCCTGGGCTGGCTCTGAACTACAATCCTCAGATCTCAGCCTTCCTGAGTAGCTAGGATTACAGGAGTGAGCCACCAGTGCCCAGTCACCCTAACTTTTTAAAAAGTGTAAGGCATTACATCCAAAAGAACAAGAGATACTGTAGCCAAGAACTCGTCCCCAATGACTCTTAAAAGCTCCTGTGTGACCTTATAAACTCTAACCATACAGCACTGCACTAGTTACAAGCTAGTGAAAAGCCTTTTATTTACATAGTCAAGCTTGAAGAAAAAACAAGAAACAGAACAACCAGGAATCAAATAATAACCACACAATCCATCAGCACAACTAATCATTAAAAACACATGTCCTGAATAGGATATATTAGAAAACAAAGATTCTCTTCAACATCTGCTACTCACATAAAATGCCTGAAGCAAATAAGCTGTGTGGCTGGGATAACTTACCGTTACAGACTTCAGAGTCATGCCGTGGTAGGTACCCATGGTGTCGATTTTAAAGCCTTCAGTTTCTACAAACAAAAGGGGGTTGCTGTTAAAATTATTTATTTATTGATAGATAAGAAATCTAAAGTTAGAGCTGGTAGCTCACGACTATAATCCTAGCGACCAAGAGGGCTGAGATCTGAGAATTTCAATTCAATGCCAGCCCAGGCAGGAAAGCCCTTGAGAGTTTTTTTTTTTTTTGGGCGGGGTGGGGGTTGGGGGATCATCATGGGGCCTGAACTCTGGGCCTGGGCACTGTCCCTCAGCCCTTCAGCTCAAGGCTAGCATTCTACCGCTTGAGCCACAGAGCCACTTCTGGCTTTTTCTGCTTATATGGTGCTGAAGAATAGGGCCTCATGCATGCAAGGCAAGCACTCTACCACTGAGCCACCCTCCTAGCCCGCCCCTTGAGTCTCCAATTAGGAACCAGAAGTGGTGCTGTGGCTCAAAGTGGTAGGTCGAGTGCTAGCGTTCAGGCAAAACAACTGAGGGATTAAAAAAATAAATAAATAAAGCCCTGAGTTCAAGCCCATGACCAACCAAAAAAAAAGAGAGAGAGAGAGAAGAAAAAGAAATCTAAACTTACCTAAAATTATATGTGAAAGTCAAACAGTATAACAAAGCTTTGAATCTACTCTGTATAAAATCTCTATAGAAGACACCAGCCTCAAAAATATTCTATACACAACAAGCCTACTGCACAGAAACTGGGTAAAACTATCTCTCTATGCTCCAAAATAAGATTGAATACTCTGAAATCTCAAATTACTTACTAGCAATAACCAATAATAGTACCATTAGAAGAATAAGAATAGTTCCTAAGTTATAGAGTTGTCTCCCAAAGTTCCAACCATGTTACTTAGTTTGTTATTCATACATGTCATTTATAGTTGTCATCACAGCCCCAGGACACTGCCGAGAATCCTTGATAGAAAATACTGAACACTTTGCAGGCCACAAATCTGTCACCATATCAAATTTTGCCATTATAATGCCAAAACAATATAAATAATATTTGCATGTACACAAAGCAGGGTGGATATAGTCCATGAAGGATTAGACCTGTTCCATGGGCTGCTTTATATGATTCATTCCATAAAGAAAAACTGCAGTGAAGAATGGATCATTATCTTCCATACAAATGAAGATAACAGGTTAAGACTACTCAGTAGATTAACATCAGTACAAAAAATTCAGTGCACTAAGGCAACATACTCTTTAAAGAATGTTAAATGCAGATTTCAGATTATCCGTCCATCAATGCTGGAATCATGCAGAAAGGGCATGTTACTGCATTAGCCAGAACCCTACATAGAAATCACAAGGAATGCCTTCTCCTGTTTCAGGTCCACGGATGCTGCCCAAGTTCTCCATGTATACATTTCTTTTTTTTTTTTTTTTGGTCTGTCGTGGGGCTTGAACTCTGGGCCTGGGCGCTGTCCCTCAGCTCTTCAGCTCAAGGCGAGCGCTCTACCACTTGAGCTACAGCGCCACTTCCGGTTTTCTGGTGGTTTATTGGAGATAGGAGTCTCACGGTCTCTCCTGCCCAGGCTGGCTTTGAACCGAGATCCTCAGATCTCAGCCTCCTGAGTAGCAAGGATTACAGGCGTGAGCCACCAGCACCCGGCCATGTATACATTTCTAATTGGAGATCATGACTTAATAAGTAGAATCTCTATCCTAAAATAAATTCCCAGGCAGAATTAATGTTGCCATTACTGGTGGCTCATACCTATAATCCTAGCTACTCGGGAGGCTGAGATCTGAGAATCGTGGTTCAAAGCCAGCCCAGGCAGGAAAGTCCGTAAAACTCTTATATTCCATTAACCACCGGAAAACCAGAAGTGGCACTGTAGCTCAAGTGGCAGAGTACTAGCCTTGAGCAAAAAGAGTTCAGTGACAACAACCAGGCCCTGAGTTCAAGTCCCACAACTCATACACACAGAGACACACACACAGAGAACCAGTGTTAGTAATAGCAAACATCTGTAGGTAGTTTCTTTCATATCAGACACCTTTTTAGGGATATCATCTTTATTAACAAGTTTGCTTCCCAACAATAACCCTAAGAGATAGGTACTAATACTATTAGAAATGTATTTATTTACATGAGAGAGACATAGACAAAACTGATAAAATACTAAAATTTCATACAAAATAATGATCTGTGACACAAGCTATCTGCTTCTAGAATCCAAACTACAACCAAGAATTAATTTTTTTCTGTAAAGGGCTAGTTTGTATTTTTAAGCTTTGCCCACTATATGATCTGTCAAAACAACTTCAATTATCCTGTCACAGAACTAAATATACAAATGAATTAATAACATGGCTGTGTTCCAAAAAAAAATTTACAAAAGTATGAATGAAACTGATTCTTTCCAATTCTAAGCCTTAAATATCAGAACATACCGCTTTTGAGGTCAGCACAACCACAGTAAGAGGAAGGTAAAAGCAAGCAACTTGCCTTCTTTCCCTTTGAATCTTTCCTGGTCATATCTATTGTAGGCAGCTGGGATAGGCTGCTTAGTGCGCAATGTGGGATCCTGTGGAAAAATAATGAGTTATGTTAATATTTAAAATACTACTTTAGTACTCACATTTAAAGCTGGTCCTGGGACTTGAACTCAAGGCTTGGGAGTTATTCTTGAGCTTCTGCTCAATGCTAATACTCTACACTTGAGCCACAGCTCCACTTCCTAAATTTTTGGTGGTTCATTGGAAGTAAGTCTCATGAGACTTTCCCTGCTCAGCCTGGCTTCTAAACCTCGATCCTCTGATCTTAGGTTCCTAAGCAGCTAGGATTACAGGCATGAGCCACTAGTGCCTGGTGAAGTATTTATTTTCTGTGCTTCCTTTTTTTACTATATAGCCAAAAAGACAAAAAAATGGCGATTAAGCCACATCTGATGACCAACAGTCATATTATTGCTGCTAAAAAGTACTGTCTTTATCAAATAAACTTAAAACTTATAAAGCTTCAGAAATAAAATGATTACTAATTTCATTCTGATTACTTAAATAAATGTCTTTGTGAAATAATACTCTCTCTACAATGATGACCTTTTTAACAGTACACTTTTCAGCTGGGCACACAAGGCTCACTCCTATATCCTAGCTATTCAGGAAGCTGAAATCTGAGATCTGAGTATTGCAATTTGAAGCCAGCCCAGACAGCAAAGTCCATGAGACTTTTATCTCCAATTAACTACTCAAAAGTTGGATGTGGAGCTGTGGCTCAAGTGGCTCATTGAGCACCAGCCATAAGCAGAAAAAGTTGAAGGACAGCATCTAGGCCCTGAGTTGAAGTTCCAGTACTGGCACCAAAAAAAACAAAAACAAAAATGGTGAAACAAACTTTTTTGCATTTAGTGTAAGTTGCAAATCTGCTTCAGGATTAGCCAGTATGCCCTGGCCCTAAGTTTTAAGAATTGGATCCTGAATTTACCAAGGAGGCAAGGCTAGGCTTTTCTGAATGGGCAGGGCAGAGACAGGGGCATTACTCCTTGGGGGAGGAACAAGCCCAGATAGGCATGGAGGAGGGACACAGACATGGCAGAAGAGGCACATTAAACATGCATTCAGCCCAACCCAGGGCATTAGGTTATTCACTATGCAGAGATCCAGAGACTAGTCAAGCACTTTAATGAAACAAGCTGTCATCTTTTTTTCTTTTTTCTTTTTGTCGGTCATAGAGCCTGAACTCTGGGTCTGGGTACTGTCCCTCAGCTCTTCAGCTCAAGGCTAGCGCTCTACCACTTGATTCACAACACCATTTCCAGCTTTTTCTGCTTATGTGGAGCTGAGGAATCAAACCCAGGGCCTCATCCATACAAGGGAAGCACTCTACCACTGAGCCACCTTCCCAGCCCCACAAGTTGTCATCTTAAAAAAAAAGAAAAAACAATTTTTAATTCAAAGTTTACTGAACTGATAACTTTTAAGTCTTTAACTGAATTACCTACAAAGATGTTAATCTCTAAATTAAATTAACATGGCAACCATGACAATAAATCCATTAATAAATTTTAAATACTTAAAGTTACCCGTCCAATTTTGCATACTTTAATTAATAAATACTTTGTACTAAACTCATAGTCTGTAATAAAGGCAGATAAGTAAAGAATATCTCAAATATGCCAGAAGCCAGTGGCTCACATCTGTAATACTAGGTAGTCAGGAGACTGATACTTGAAGAATCACAGTATAAAGCTAGCCTGGACAGAAAAGTCTGCTAGACTTTATCCCAATTAATCAGAAAATACTAGATTGGAGGCATGGCTTCAGTCATAAGAGTCCCAGTCATAAGCAGGAAAGAGCTTGAGGCCCTGAGTTCAAGCCAAAAAATGAAAGACAAAAAAAAATGTCCCAAATCTGGCTGAGAAATGTTATGATAGTCACAAAGAATGCAATACTCTTCATTTTGATAGAATAGAATTTCATTTAAGTATTATCACAAATGAAAGGTAATTATCTAGACCTCAGGTAGGTATATTTACTTTGCAAGTCAAGGCTTATGTAAATACAAAGAAAGAATATTCATAGCCATAAAGACAACAGTTACAATGTTTTAGTTTGATATGCATCTAAACACTATTAGAAATACCATGCCAGGAGAGAGTGACTAACACCTGTAATCCTAACTACTCAGGAGGCTGACCTGTGAGGATCATGGTTCAAAGCCAGCCTGGTCATGAAAGTCTGTGAGACTATTATCTCCAATTAATCACAGAAAAACCAGAAGTGGCACCCAGCTTGAAGTAACTTTTTGTTTTGTCAGTTATAAGACTTGACAGCACCCTGGGTGCTGTCATTGAGCTTTTTTGCTCTGTCACTTGAGCCACACAATTCCACTTTCCACTTTTTGGTGCTTAATTGGAGATAACTCTGACGATTCCTGGACTAGCCTGGACTGGCTTTGAACCACAATCCTCAGATCTCAGCTTCCAGAATAACTAGGATTACAGGCATTATAGGATTACCAGCCCCCAACCTGAATAACTTTTAATGCTAGGAAGGGTCTTTACACCCATCAGGTATACACAAGCTCTTTTAAAGAACTTAATACAAAGCCAGGCACCAGTGGTTCACACTCATAATCAGAAGGCTGAGATCTGAGGATCACAGTTTGAAATTAGTCTGTGCAGGAAAGTCTGTAAGACTCTTACTTTCAATTAACCTGCCAAAAAGGCTGAATTGGAGCTGTGGCTCAAGTGGTAAAGCACTAGCCTTGAGCAAAAAAGCTCAAGCATACATTCAAAGCCCCAGAACTAGCGCAGAAAAGAAAAAACCCAAAAGACAAAAAAAGCAAAACATCTTCAAATTACAATACACACCAGTACTTTCATTAAAACCTTTATGTATAATAATTGTAGAAAGCATTTATGTTTTGACAGATATTTAAGGCCATAGTTTTCTTCATTGACTATTATTGTTTTACATGGCCAATTTTTTGGTCCTCTCTATTTTATAAATGACTGCATAGCTGGGAACAAAATAAACTGACTTTGATATAGCTGTGTAGGTGAATGTTTAAACTATTTTGGAAATTAAGTATAATATATTTTTCTTCCAACTTCAATAAAAATATTTTAGTACTGCAAAAAAAAAAAAAATTCTACGTAAGCAGAAAACATCCTTACCACAGGTGCTGCATTTGGAGCTGGTCGCTGCTCAGGTGCCCGCCCTTCTTCTCTGGCTTTTACAGATTGAAGAATTGCAAAAATATTCTTGGAAAAGTTCTGCAAAATAAATGAATTCTAATTAAGTGCACCCAGGTACACAAAGGCAGTAAGCAGTTTGGAATTAAGCGTTCTTCCTGTCGGTTCTTCCCTACTGTACCCTGGGTTTACTTACTAATGCTATGGCAAGGAGGATATGGGCTGTCTCCACAGGTTCACAACTGGAGGCTTCTTTCTTAGTGTGATGATACTGAGGTGGTAAGACTTAAAAAAATGTGAGGCCTAGCCGGGTGCCAGTGGCTCAGGCCTGTAATCTCAGGAGACTGAGAACCGAGGATCCAGGTTCAAAGCCAGCCCAGGCAAGAAAAGTTCATGAGACTCTTATCTCCAATAAACCACCAGAAAATCGGAAGTGACACTGTGGCTGAAGTGGTAGAGCACTTCAGCCTGAGCTGAAGAGCTCAGGGACAGTACTCAGGCCCAGAGTTCAAGTCCCACAACTGACAAAAAAACAACAACAACAAAAAAAACACATAGCATACAGAAAATCATTTTGCAAAATGTACAAAAAGACAATGGTAACATTGTTTTAAGGACTGGAGGCATAGCTCAAATGTAGAGCTCCTATTTTGAAAGCTCAGGGACTGAGTTCAAATCCAGTACCAAGAAAAAAGTGACACTGTTTTAAATTTCTTTAAAATTCCTAGTTTAAGAAGAATTCAGCTGTATTCTGTTATTTACTTCTCCACCCAGTATTTATTGTGCTTATTAATAGTCAAAGAACAATCTAGCCTCACAACTAAAAAAGGGAGAAATGTAGTATAACTTTGCAATTAATTGTGGATATTCCTTATTTTATATCACACCAATGTTATTGGTGTGGAAAACATCTTAAAATTAATTGATCTATCTTGCATTTTGTTTTTTTGGGAACTGGTACTGTAACTTGAACTCAAGGCCGGGGCATGCTACCAAATGGGCCACAGCTCCACTTCCTGCTTTTATTGGTCAACTAGAGGTAAGAGTCTCCTAGACTTTTCTGCCTGGGCTAACTTTGAGCCTTGATCCTCTGATCTCCACCTCCTGGGTAGACACCAGCACGTGGTCATCTTGCACTTTAAATGGGCTTTTCCATGTTGGTCATATGGAAAACATTAATGAATTATGCAGATTTTTTCCCCAAAACATTGGCACATTGTAGTATAAAGTAGCAACTAATTATTTTTAAAACATTTGTTTCTATGTTTATTAGAATCCATTTATTAACATTACTCATTAAAGACTCACTAGAAAAGAAAGCTAATATCATCAGACTAATAGAAACAACCTTCTTAAAACTAATTTTCTCATAAAATCTCATATTCTATTATTGTTTGGGTTTTTCTTTGTCTTTTCTTTTTTGGTACTGGAAATCGAACCCAGGACATAGTGTATTTGCCTAGCAAGTGAGCAAGCTACATTCCATTCTATTATTGACAACAAATGCTGACAGCTGTTTTCCTTGAATTAACACTTCATTTTCAAAAAATATCTGTCAAATGCCCAAGTCTAGTTACTTACACAACAAATAAATGAGTTTTGACAGAAAGAGTGAGAGAAGGGGAAAGACAAACTAGAATACATTGTAAATGAATATAGGAAAGTAACAATAAAATCCTTCCCTATAAAACTAATGTAAGCTGATAAAAAAAAAGATACCAAACAAAGCCTTTCTACAAGAGTAATTTACAAAGCAGCTGATTCAACTAAAAGTCAGACATCAGCACAGGTGCTGTTCATGAAGTCAATCATAGTATTTTGGTGTGCAGGCCTGTTTTATCCATTCCAATTGCATCACACCAAATAACAGAAGAAACAAAGATCAAGATTTAACCAGACTTCATCATTATCAGTGGCTGTAGAACACCACCACGACTAGTGTTGTGTGGTGCTGCTGCGGTGACACACGCCATGGGCCCGCAGACTTAGCAACCACTGCTTCTGTACCATCATGGCAGGGAGAAATGCAAATGAAATCACAGTCTACTGAGAAAACTGAAGAAAAACAAATCTACTTTAAAAAACAACAAACTGGGCTGGGAAGTAGCTCCGTGGTAGAGTGCTCGCCTCACATGCATGAGGCCCTGGGTTCGATTCCTCAGTACCATGTGAGCAGAAAAAGCTGGAAGTGGTGCTGTGGCTCAAGTGGTAGAGCGCTAGCCTTGAGCTGAAGAGCTGAGGGACAGTGCCCAGGCCCAGAGTTCAGGCCCCACAACTGGACCAAAACAAAAAAACAACAAACTGAGAGACACAAATACTAGAAGAATAAATGGAAACATCATCAGATACTTTTGCATGGTAGAATTATAGATGATCTCTTCCTTTACTGATCTTTTTCATGGATTTTTCAACAAACATATACTACTATGGTTTGAACAAGTCCTCCAAAATATATCGTCAATGCAACAGTGCTGAGAGCTGAGATCTTTTTTTTTTTTTTGTCGGTCCTGGGGCTTGAACTCTGGGCCTGGGCGCTGTCCCTCAGCTCTTCAGCTCAAGGCGAGCGCTCTACCACTTGAGCTACAGCGCCACTTCCGGTTTTCTGGTGATTTATTGGAGATAGGAGTCTCACGGTCTCTCCTGCCCGGGCTGGCTTTGAACCGCGATCCTCAGAACTCAGCCTCCTGAGTAGCTAGGATTACAGGCGTGAGCCACCAGCGCCCGGCTGAGAGCTGAGATCTTTTGGAAGTGATCTCTAAGACAGCATATGGCTGGAAGAATGCTTCCTGAGAAAAGCAGGAGTGCAGTTTCCTTCTCACTCAGGAGAGCACTCCCTGACCAGACACAGTGTCCTTCCCTGGGATCCCCAGCCTCCAGAACAGTCACCCACACAAAGTTCTGATCATCATAAATGACTCAATCTGTGCTATTGTTACAGAATAAAATGTATGATTTAATGGTGTTATAAAATTAGGTTGCATGATTTGGGGTGTTTTAATACAGGTATACAAAAGAATGTATTTCTATTTCTCATAGTAATTTAAACCTTTCTAAACTCAGAAAAACAAAAAAAAAAGGTCCTGTTTGCCAGGAATAATGAAGGTGCATCTAAAATCTGTAAGATTAGAGTTTAACAGAAAAAAAAAACAGTATACTGAGAGATTATCGGCCAGAATGTTTAATTTCAATTTGTTTTTAATTTAATACAGAAGCAAACCTAGATAACAATAAGTAAATTATCAACTTATTTTTTAAGTACAGTGGAACCAGTAACATTAAATTAAATTAGATCACTAGGTTTTTGAATTGCAGTACAATTCTGCCACCTAGAGCTTAAAGAAAAATGTTCATCTCAGTTATTTGAAAATTCGCTGTTTGGGCTGTGAATGTGGTTTAGTGGTAGAAGGCTTGCCTAGCATGCATGAAGCTCTCGGTTTGATTCCTCAGTACCACATAAACAGAAAAAGCTGAAAGTGGTGCTGTGGCTCAAATGGTAGAGCGCTAGCCTTGAGCTAAAGAGCTCCGGGACAGCACCTGGGCCCAGAGTTTAAGCCTTACAACTGACGAAAAAAGAAAGAAAAAGAAAATTCACTGTTTGATGTGAAAGAAAAAAAGGAGAGTACCAGCTGCTTTATTTACTCTAAGTTTAAAATTTCCAAAAATTATCCAGATCTCTATAAGCCACAGTATGTTTCAAGAATTAGCCATATTAGGTAATGAAAACAAATACATAGATCATTTGATTGTAACAAAAGTAGAAGATGAAACTTTTCTAAGCACCAGATTTTATCAACAGTTCTAAGTTCTAGAGGATTATTCTTTACTCATAACTTGTAAGTTGTATTATTCTTTACTTATAACATGATTTAAGGAATTGAAAGGTCTTTGTACAAATACTTAATATAAAAACAAGCCAGGAGCCAGTGGTTTACATCTGTAATCCTAGCTACTCAAGAAGCTGAGGGGCTGGGAAGGTGGCTCAGTGGTAGAGTGCCTGCCTTGCATGCATGAGGCCCTGGGTTCAATTCCTCAGCACCACATGAGCAGAAAAAGCCAGAAGTGGCGCTGTGGTTCAAGTGATAGAGTGCTAGCTTTGACCTGAAGAGCTGAGGGACAGTGCCCAGGCCAACAACAACAAAAAAAGCTGAGATCTGAAGATCAAGGTTCAAAGCCAGCCTGGACAGGGAAGTCTGTTAGACTCTCCAATTAACCACCAAAAAACCGGAAGTGGTGGCTCACAGTGGTAAAGCACAACTCTTGAGAGAAAAAGCTCAGGGATGGGCTGGGAAGGTGGCTCAGTGGTAGAGCACTTGCCTTGCATGCATGAGGCCCTGGGTTCAATTTCTCAGCACCACATAAGCAGGGGAAAAAAAAGCCGGACGTGGCGCTGTGGCTCAAGTGGTAGAGTGCTAGCCTTGAGCTGAAGAGCTGAGGGACAGTGCCCAGGCCCAGAGTTCAGGCCCCACGACCAGACCAAAAAAAAAAAAAAGCTCAGGGAGTACTCAGGCCATTAGTTCAAGCCCCACCATCAACAACAACAAAAAAAATATGTTGATGAGTGAAAGAAAAACAGGAAGAATTCTTTTCTTTATGCACTTCAGTAACAGCTTTCTTTTTTTTGTGCGTACATGCCCTTCCTGGGGCTTGAACTCAGGGTGTTTGGGCTTGAGCTTTCTTTTCCCCTCAATTCTACCCCTTGAGACAGGTTCCACTTCCAACTTTTTAGCAGTTACTTGGAGACAGGAGTCTCAGGAACTGGGCTGGTTTCAAACAGTGATAGATCTCAGTCTCCTGAGTGCTAGGATTATAACTGCATCACAGGCACCAGGTATAACAGCTTGACTCTTACTTATATAGCACAAAGAATTTAAGGCTATGGGGTCATGAGGAAAAAACTGGGAGAGAGCAAAGGAAGGGATGACATTGTCCAAAAAAAATGCACTCATTACCTAAGTTATGAAATGGTAACCCTCTGTATATCACCTTTAGAGCAACAAAAAAACAATTTCTTTTTTTTTTTTTTTTTTTAATTTAATTTTATTTTATTTGAGAACATACTGTACAGAGGGGTTACAATTACATGGGCAGGATAATGCATACATTTCTTACCAAGCATTGCAGCCTCCTCCTTTGTTTACCCTTCACCTCCCTTCCCAGCCTCCCCCCTCCCAAAAAAACAATTTCTTTTAAAAATAATTTAAGGCTAAAATCTAAAAATTCAACAATCAAAACCAATCTGGACTAGGTGTTGGGTAGACGCCTACACTACCAGTACATCTGAAGCAAGAAGAAGGTCATAGCTTCATGGCCAGGCCTGCCTCACACAGGGATTCATCCTGTTTTATTTCCAAGTATGAATCCTTTGGCTGTACAGATACAAATGCACAGAACTGTAGCGTGTCTTTTAATGCATTATTTCTAACAGTGATAAGAATAAAAGGGAAGAAAAAGAAGACAAGGAGGATGGAGAGGATATCAGAAGAGAGGAGAGGGCAAGGAGGCAAAAAAGGAACAGAGCAAAGGGAGACAAACTCCAAATTCCTGGGGCAAAAACAAAGTAACATTTCCATCAATAAGGAACTAATAAATGCCTACCACCCACGAGAACATGATGTATAAAGACGATAATTATTTGTTGACTAATGTCTGAATGTCCCTCTGTATGAAAAAGAATTATAGTGATTATATCAGCTCTCCAAAGATTCAGAGAGCTTTTCATCAGCATTCCACTACATCAACTTTAGACAAAACTCAACTCAACATGAAAATTAGGCCACATTTTGATTCGTAAATGATGCATGAAGACTTTGAACCAGACTTTTTTCAGCTTATTCCATCCCTATGAATGGAACAGCCTATATGGCCACAAAGATTTCCAAGACATGCAACTTCAACACTCCTCCAAATCCCATTTTAAACAATCCTGTAACTAAGGAATGAGTAACATTTAATTACCTTTCCTGTGCTCTGTAAGATAGTTGTTCGCGTCCTCCACACCCTCTCTCTGCTGACAATATCTCGGGTCACGTCCACCTCAGCATCCACAAAACTCCTCTGTTTAAGGGCAGTTATATCATCATCTAGATCAGTCTTGATAGTAGATCTTTTCTTAGCCATAATTTTGGCTTTGATTGCAGCAATTTTTTCCACTGACATAGCTTCAGACAAAGACCTAAAAGCAACTTATTCTTAAACTTTTGCAGCAGAGATTGCTTAAGCATATCATATCATTTATTATAAAATTCCCGTAAAAAGCCTACATATAACATTAAGATTTTATCTGTAGAACTGATATACTTGAGTGTCACACAGGAGTTCATGTAGGTGTCAGTGGCTCATGCCTGTAATTGTAACTACTCGGGAGGCTGAGATCTGAGGATTTCAGTTCAATGCTAGCCCCGGCAGGAAAGTACCTGATTAACCACCAAAAAGCTGTGGCTCAAATGGAAGAACACTAGCCTTGTATAAAAAAGCTCAGGGACAGCGCCCAGGCTGAGTTAAAAAAAACTGTTGTTCCTGAGGTCTCCCATGAGAACTAGAACTCTGTCTGGAATTAAAACTGAGGCCTCTTTAAAAAAAAAAACAACAAAAAAAAACTGTAGCAAAGAGCCATATTCCCCCAGACTTTGAATGAAGCCAAGTTGAAAAGTAGTGGACTAATTTGACATACACCTATAATAGAAGTGGAAGACTGAGATTCAAAGCCAGCCCAGGCAGAAAAGTCCATGAGACTTCCCGTCTAATTTACCAACAAAATGTCTAACTGGAAATGTGGTTCCAGTGGCAGAACACTAACTGTAAACAAGCAAGTGTGCCAGAGTACAAGGCCTAAGTTTACACACCAGTATCATCTTTTAAAAAAAAAAAAGGACAGAAGTAACAGACTAATTAATCTGGCCGAAGAAATTTTAAGGAAGCTCAGTATACAGGCACTAAGGCTATAGTTGCTTTGAGCCAAGTTAACAGAGAATCGTGAGCAAAAAGACAATTAGAGCTGGGTGCTGGAGGCTCACGCCTGTAATCCTAGCTTCTCAGGAGGCTGAGATCTGAGGATCAGAGTTCAAAGCCAGCCGGTGACTCTTATCTTAAATTAACCACCAGAAAACAGGAAGTGGCACTGTGGCTCAAGTGGTAGAGCACTCACCTTGAGCTGAAGAGCTGAAGGACAGCACCAGGCCCAGAATTCAAGCCCCATGACCAACCAAAAAAAAGACAACTAAAAAAGTCTGAAAATTTTGAACTTTCCTAAAAAATAAACATGTAATGCCTAGCTATGGCTTGACATTAACAGGCCTCTGTGACATACATCTAAGAGATACTGTTTTTACACGCATAGTTAATCTAAAAAGAGCTAAGGAAGCATGGAGACTTCCACCCAGTTTCAAAGGAAGGTCTGCGAGGCCCAGCAACTTATGGCAGGGTCAGATCTCTGGAAACAGGTAGAGAGGGCAATGCATGAAACAATGAAGGTAAAGCAAGGCACAATCTCTAAAAATTATGGAGATGCCAGGAATGTGGAATGTCTGCTGCGCTGCAGGCAGTATACAGTGGCAGCCTGAGAGTCCCATTGAGCTTCCGGTGGCAAGACCATTATAGTGGTATAGTGGGGCTGCAGACCACTGGAGCTCACTTCCTGACACACCACCACTGGGTCAGACATGGCTCTGCAGAACGTACTATCTGCCCTGCTGGGTTCTGATCTTGCTTTGGTCCCATTCCTCCTTTCAGAATGGGAATGCTTACTCTGGTCATTAAATGTTCTAGGCATGTATTATGCTTTTGAAATGTTATGGAGGCTCACCGCTAAGAGCTGTCACAGGGAGTGACAGCCTCAAAAGAATCTTGAACATTAGAGAAATGGGAGACTTTAGGACCAAAGGGGGGAAAGTTATGGTTTAATTATGAAATGACTCCAGCAGGTTCATGTGTTAGACAGGACATTATGGGGGGCGCCTGACTGAGAACAAGCCTCCCTCCAGGATCAGAGGCTTTGTCTTACTACACACAGGCCCAGAAGTAATGGAGTCAAGTGGCACTGATAAACCTCTGAAATGGTGACTCAAAATGAATCTTCCAACATTTTATCAGGTATTTGTCACACAGCTGGAAACTCTAAACTGTGGTATATAATCTAGAAATAACAAGTACACAGGAGGGGCTGAACATGGTGGCCCATACCTATAATTCCAGCTCTGCAGGAAGTGGGGGGGTGGATCATAGTTCAAGGCCAACCCAGGGAAACAAGGCATGCATTGTAATTCATACCTATAATCCCATCTACGTAGGTGATAGAGGTAGAAGGAATATAGGTCAGAGATAGCCCAGAGCAATACACGTGAGACCCTGTCTGAAAATTAAGCAAAAAAAGGCTGGAGATGCTGCCCAAGTGGTGATGCACCTGCTGAGCAAGCTCAAACCCTTGAATATAAACCCCCAGTACTGATAAAAAATAAAAATAAAAAACAAAATATACAGCAAGGCAAGTACAGCCAATAGCATGCTATTTTATATCAAGGAACAATCACTGATGGGGTCCAAGGGACAACTCATTTCCTGCACAAGGAAACAGAGGCATGGAATGGATGGAGATAAATGTAAATGCAGACAGCATTTCCCATATGCACTCCTTAACTCCTCTCCACTAAAGAAACCCTTACCTGATCTGCTCAGTCTGCACAATTCCTTCTTTATGGCCCTCCAGCCGGGCAGCCAGTCTCTCTTTATCAAGGCGCACACACTCTTCATCCTGGAAACAATCACTAGTTAGTAAACATTTCATTTTTATTTAATTTTGAAAAAGTAAAATCACTACACACAGATTTTTCTTACCAAAAATCCCCTTTGCAGTTCCAGGTATTCCTGTACTCAAGCCACCATTACAACTGTGTGTAAAGTCACACAAAGATGGAAACTAACCACAGATGTTCCTTAACTTAGGGTGTGGCTCCACTCTGATACACCCAAAATAAATTAAAAATGCTCACTACTCAGGAGGCTGAGATCTGAGGATAGTAGATCAAAGACAGTCCGGGCAGAAAGTCTATGAGACTCTTCTTCCTAATTAATCACCAAGAAGCTAAAAGCAGAGCTGTGGCTTAAGTGGTAGAGTGACTGCCGTGAGCAAAAAACCCCAGGGACAGTGACTAGGCCCCAGGACAGTTACACACAAAAAAGTCCTAAGCCAAAACTGGGTTTAACAAACCTAGGGGCTGGGAAGGTGGCTCAGTGGTAGAGCGCTTGCCCTGCATGCCTGAGGCCCTGGGTTCGATTCCTCAGCACCACATAAGCAAAAAGAAAAAAGCTGGAAGTGGCGCTGTGGCTCAAGTGGTAGAGCGCTAGCCTTGAGCTGAAGAGCTGAGGGACAGCGCCCAGGCCCAGAGTTCAGGCCCCACGACCGGACCCAAAAAAAAACAAAAAAACCCTATCCTATTCAATAGTGCAGCTTGACAGACACACCAGTCCACTGTTAGACAAAATCACTAGCAAAATAACTAGCAAAATAACTAGAGGTTGGCAGCTCTTTTATTGGGTCTGGTCATGGGGCCTTGAACTTTGGGACTGGGCGCTGCCCCTCAGCTCTTCAGCTCAAGGCTAGCGCTCTACCACTTGAGCCATAGCACCACTTCCGGCCTTTTCCTTTTTGCTTATATGGTGCTAAGGAATTGAACCCAGGACCTCAGGCATGCAAGGCAAGCGCTCTACTACTGAGCCACCTTCCCAGCCCCTGGCAGCTCTTATAATTTATTGAATACTACACTAAACACGAAACACTCTGTAAAGAATGTAAGCCTATCAATTTTTGCATCATCTAAAAGTAGAAAAAGCAGCCAGGCATTGGTGGCTCATGCCTGTAATCTTAGTACACAGGAAGCTGAGACCTGGAGGATCTGGTTCAAAGCCAGACTGGGAAGAAAAGTTCAAGTGATTCTGTCTCCAATTAACCAGCAACAGCTGGAAGTGAAAATGTGGCTAAGGAGTAGAGCTCCAGCCTTCAGTAATCAAGAAAGAGTGCAAAACCCTAAGTTCAAGCCCTGTAAACAAACACAAACACACACAAACACACACACACACACACACACGCACGCACGCACGCACGCACACTACCATCAATGACCATGTGTAAAAGCTTATAAACCTTCTTAGACATTCCCTCACACTATGTACCTGCTTCAAAAAACCTAGAATTCACATCAATGTTAATGAAATAACTTAACAAGCACTTAGGGCTCACAGCTGATAGTAAAGACAACCCCGCTTCCACCCCTCTCCAGGAGTAGGAAAACCATACCCAAAGCTCACTACTAGTGCCAAAGCTGTGTTGGGCCAAGCCACTGTCCGTCTGTGATGGTTTTCACAGCACAACAGAGTAGAGAAGCATGTGGCCAAGAACATATACCACTTCTTTCTGTACTTTTACAAAATCAAACCTGTGTGTTTGTCCGGTAGTACTATGGGTTAAACCCAAGGTCTTCTGCCACTTGGGTCACATTCACAGACTTTCTGGCTTTATTGTGTTTGAGCGAGGGTCTGACTAACTGTCCAGGGCAGCCTTGAACTTGAGATCTTCCTGCTTCTACTACAAGTAGCTGGGATTATAGGTATATATATACTACCACATCCAGCCAGATCTAGTACCAATCATATTTTCATTTTGGGTCTGGTCGTGGGCCTGAACTCTGAGCCTGGGCGCTGTCCCTAAGCTCTTCAGCTCAAGGCTAGCGCTCTACCACTTGAGCCACAGCGCCACTTCCGGCTTTTTTTTTTTTTTTTTTTTTGCTTATGGGTGCTGAGGAATCGAACCCAGGGCCTCAAGCATGCAAGGCAAGCGCTTTACCACTGAGCCACCTTCCCAGCCCCAACCAACCATATTTTCAATAAAAGCAAAGATAATAAAAGTATCAGTGGTATTCACTATACAGCATGTTGAAAATGAACAGGTAGGGACGGGAGGGAAAACTGGGAGAGGGAAGGAAAGGGTAACCCTGTCAAAAAGATTTTTTAAAAATGTTCTCATCTGGCTTACGTAACTGTAACCCCCTGCCTATCACCTGTACAATAACAATTTTAAAAAAAAAAAAATTAGGCTGGGAATGTGGCTCAGTGGTAGAGTGCTTGCCTAGCATGCATGAAGCCCTGAGTTCTATTCCCAATACTACATACACAGAAAGAGCCAGAAGTGGTGCTGTGGCTCAAGTGTTTGGAGTGCTAGCCTTGAGTAAAAGAAGCTTAGGGACAATGTCAAGCCCCAAGACTTGCAAAAATAAATAAACAAATGAAATTAGTTGCCTATCATAAAGACTGGATGTGAGAGCTAACGCTGTTCAAGCTATATTCTAACCAACTTTTCTTTCACTTCAAAAACATTTCCAGAAATAAAGAGCTCCTAGAATTATCACAATTCAGGTAATAGTATGAGTCAGCTTTAAAATAAAGTTATTACCTCAATTCGTGGTTTCTTTGCTTCTGCTAAAACTTCATCTGAAGCTCGTTTGACTTAAAAAAAAAAAAAAAAAAAAAGTAAATAAATGCACAGAGTTTTGGAATGGGATTTTGGAGACGGAAAATAAGGATGTGACAAGTGTACCTTGAGTGGATCTCTGAAGACCTATTTCCAGGGGGGCACTTCTGTCTATACTTGCCGACGTTGCTGAAAATGTTAAAAGATTCACATGAACAGGTCAATATTTGAACAAGTGCAAGGATTTCCCTATGTAAAAGTAAGTTTTAGCCAGGCTAACACCTATAATCCTACTCAGGAGGCTGAGATCTGAAGATCACAGTTTGAAGCCAGTCCAGGCAGGAAAGTCCATGAGACTCTTATCTCCAATTAAAAAACTGGAAGTAGCACTGTGACTCAGGTGGTAGAGCACTAGTGAGTACAGCACCCATGCCCAGAGTTCAAGCCCCAAGACCAACAAAAAAATAAATAAAATTTAAAAAGTAAAAAACTAGGGCTGGAAAGGTGTCTCAGTGGTAGAGCACTTGCCTTGCATGCACGAGGCCCTGGGTTCAATTCCTTATCACCACATAAGCAAAAAGAAACAAGCCGTTAGTGGCGCTGTGGCTAAAGTAGTAGAGCGCTAGCCTTGAGCTGAAGACCTAAGGGACAGCACCCAGGCCCAGAGCTCAGGCCCCAAGACCGGACTCTCCCCCCCACACACACAAAAAAAAGTAGGCTGGGAAGGTGGCTCAGTGGTAGAGTGCTTGCCTTGCAGGCATGAGACCCTGGGTTCAATTCCTCAGCACCACATAAGCAGAAAAAGCTGGAAATGGCGCTGTGGCTCAAGTGGTAGAGTGCTAGCCTTGAGCTGAGGGACAGTGCTCAAGTCCAGAGTTCAGGCCCCATGACCCACAACAACAAAAAAAAGTTAAAAAGTATTTGTTCAAAAGATTAATCTGGATTACAAAGTCTGTAAGAGAACAAATTATTTTTTAACAATATGACTGAAATTAACTGGTGATTTTAAAGAATATATAACTTAAGGAAGCAAATCAATAATAAATATGTACATAAGCTGGGCGCCGGTGGCTCACGCCTATAATCCTAGCTACTCAGGAGGGTGAGATCTGAGGATCGAGGTTCAAAGCCAGCCCGGGCAGCAAAGTCCATGAGACTATTATCCCCAATAAACTTCTAGAAAACTGGAAGTGGTGTTGTGACTCAAGCGGTAGAGCACTCCTTGAGCTGAAGAGCTGAGGGATATCGCCCATGCCCAGAGTTCAAGCCCCAGGACCGACAAAAAAATAAATAAAATAAATATATACATATTAAGTTAACATTCATATTAAACATGCAATTTTTGGTTATTCATAATCAGCAGAAAACTTTAAATTATCTTTTCTATTTACTTATTTATTTAGTGCCTGTCCTGGGGCTTGAACTCAGGTTGTAGGGACTGTCCCTGAGCTTTTTTGCAGAGATTAGTGCTCTACTACTTGAGCCTCAGCTCCACTTCCATGTTTTTTGTAGTTTAGTGAAGATAAGAGTTCCACATGCTGGGAAGGTGGCTCAGTGGTAGAGTGCTTACCTTGCATGCTTGAGGCCCTGGGTTCGAATCCTCAGAACCACATAAGCAAAAAAAGCCCGAAGGAAGTGGCGCTGTGGCTCAAGTGGTAGAATGCTAGCCTTGAGCTGAAGAGCTGAGGGACAGTGCCCAGGCCCAGGGTTCAGGCCCCATGACCAATCAAAAAAAAAAAAAAAAGGTTCCACAGACTTTCCTACTCAGGCTAGCTTTGAATCGCAATTCTTAGATCTCAACCTTCTGAGTGGCTAGGATTACAGGTGTGAATCACTGGTGCCTGGCTCATGTTACTTTGTTTTTGAATAGCTCAATATAATAAAACTACAAAAATCTACACCAAGATAAAAAAGGCTGCACTTATTCCATCTACCTTTTCCTACCACCAATGTAACATGCAACCAATATTACAGTATCAATTATGCATATTTTTTCTAGAGTTCCCTCTTGTAGATACAAAAAATACAAATAAGCCGGGCGTTGGTGGCGCCTGTAATCCTACCTACTCAGGACAGGAGACTGAGATCTGAAGATCGCAGTTCAAAGCCAGCCCAGGCAGGAAAGTCCGTGAGACTCTTATCTCTAATTAACCACCAGAAAACCAGATGTGGTTCTGTGGCGTAAGTGGTAGAGCTCTAGCCTTGAGCTGAAGAACTGAGGGACAGTGCCCAGGCCCAGAGTTCAGGGCTACGACCGGACTGGGGGTGGGTCGGGAGAGTGGAGGAGAAGTAGAAACTTCTAAACTCAAGATAGTAGGCACAGCAGAAATCATCAAAATATACTGAGGTGGGTAACAAGTAGGAAGAGAAAAAACAATCAAAATATACTGAGGCGGGCAACAAGTAGGAACAGAGTCTGGTGGCCCAAATACCAAATGAAGTAATGTTTTCAAAAGAGGAAGTCACCAACAGTACCTAATGCCAATCAGGTCAAGGAAGGAAAAGAAATCAAGGATATATCAATTCTGAAGTCACTTGGCCTTGTAAAGGATTTTAGTAGTATGGTGGGAAAAGCCAGACAGGAGTGGCTTCCAGAAAGAAATGACAGGCCAAGTGCTGGTGGCTAACACCTGTAATCCTAGCTACTCAGCAGTGTGAGATCTGAGGATTGCAGTTCAAAGCCAGCCAGGGCAGAAAAGTCTGGAGAGACACTTATCTCCAATTAATCACCAGAAAACCCAGAAGTGGTACTGTGGCTCCAAGTGGTAGCGCGCTAGCCTTGAGCAAAAGAACTCAGGGACAGTGCCATGAGTTCAAACCCCACAACTGATGGAAGGAAGGGAGGGAGGGAAGTTCCAGAAATGGTAGTGCATGTTTGTAATTCCAGCTACTGGGAATTGATGAATGGTTTATGGTTTGAACCCAATCCAGGCAAAAAATTAGCAAAGACTCTTATTCTCAACAAGCCAAGCCTAGAAGAACATACCTTCAGACATAGCTTGCAGGAGAGAGGTACAGATATGGAAGGGTAGGTAATAGTCTAAAGTGAGTCCCATGCAACAACGTAAAACCTTACCTGAGAACAACTCAAAAGCAAAAAGGGGCCAGGATTGGGGGAAGGTGACTCAAGTGGTAGAGTACCTGCCTAGCAAACACAAGGTCCCAAGTTCAAACCCCAATATCAGAGAAAAACAAAAAGAGTAGGAGCAATTGAAATACTACTCACATGCTTCACCATTGAGATACCCAAGGAGATCTTTTCGGTCAGGTCTTCTAACCACAGGGATATTTTCAGTCTGCAGCCAAAATTTGAAATGAATTAATTTTTTAAAAAACTATATGAAACCAGTCAAAAAATGTTAGGCTGAAAACTTTTAAATAATGAAAGATTTAAAAATCCTAGACTAAAACTAAAAACCATTTTAAATATGTTTATTTTTCATAAAGTTTTGAAATTCTAGTAAGATATAAAAGATAATTATTCAAAAAGAAGCAACGACTATCCCTGTTCAAGGTATGAACCCAGTCCTTTTTCTGTTTAACTTATTCTAAGTATTTATTCTCTAACTACACTCATGATAGTATGTGCCTGAAATGAACACCTTAGTTCCTACTGTCTCAGTTCATGAAGTACCTATTAGTATTTTCTCATACAAAAAACCAGACTTCAAGATATTCAACTTGAACTCTTCCAAATAAACAAAATTAGTCACCAAAACTAAGTTTGATGGCTGGGAAGGTGGCTCAGTGGTAGAGTGCTTGCCTTGCATGCATGAGGCCCTGGGTTCATTTCCTCAGTACCACATAAGCAGAAAAAAAAAAAAAAGCCAGAAGTGGCTCTGTGGCTCAAGTGGTAGAGTGCTAGCCTTGAGCTGAAGAGCTGAGGGACAGCGTCCAGGCCCAGAGGTCAGGCCCCATGACCGGACCCAAAAAAAAACAAAAAAAACAAAACTAAGCTTGACAATGATAGATTCATCTTGTTTTGGTATGAAATAAAGCATAAAAGATTATACAGGAAAATAGTAATAGTGGTAATCATTTACCTTCTATATCAAATAGTTTTTTTATTTTTTTATTTATTTTTTTGCCAGTCGTGGGGCCTGAACTCATCCTGGGCACTGTCCCTCAGCTTTTCAGCTCAAGGCTGGTGCTCTACCACTTGAGCCACAGTGCCACTTCCAGCTTTTTCTGCTTATGTGGTGCTGAGGAATCGAACCCAGGGCCTCATGCATGCAAGGCAAGCACTCTTCCACTGAGCCACCTTCCCAGCTCTAGTTTTTTATTTTTTATGCCAGTCCTAGGGCTTGAACTCAAAGCTAGCAATCTACTGAAGCCACAGCTCTACTTCCAACTATTTTTTGGTGATTAATTGGAGAGAAAGAGCTTCACAGACTTTTCTGCCTGGGCTGGCGTTGAACTGTGATCCTTAAATCTCTGCCTCCTAAGGATAACAGGCATGAGCTACTAGTGCCCGACATCACATAATTCTTTGTTTTGGGTGCCAGTCCTGAAGGCTGAAATAAGGGCCTGGGTGCTGTCCCTTAAGAGTTTTTGCTCAAAAAAAAAAAGAGTTTTTGCTCAAGGCTGTTGCTCTATCACTTGTGCCACAGCTTAAGTGGCTTTTGGGGACATTATTTGGAGATCAGAGTTTCCGAAGCTGGTTTCAAACCACAATCCTCACATCTCAGCCTTCTAAATGGTAGTAGTATAGAAGTGAGCCACTGGTGCCCAGCTTAATAATTCTTTTTATTTCTCAGTGTGAATAAATTCTGAAAGCAGAAGAGTATTAAAAATTAAGCCTGAATTATGCATTGTAGAAAACAGGGTAATTTTCCTGTAATAATCTACATTAGCAATGTGCAAAAAAATGAGCAAAACGCTCACACTAGGCAGTCACTCTCACTATTTTCCTTTCTTTTTTTGGAGGGGAGTCCGGTCGTGGGGCCTGAACTTTGGGCCTGGGCGCTGTCCCTCAGCTCTTCAGCTCAAGGCTAGCATTCTACCACTTGAGCCACAGAGCCACTTCCGGCTTTTTTTTTCTGCTTATGTGGTGCTGAGGAATCGAACCCAGGGCCTCATGCATGCAAGACAAGCGCTCTACCACTGAGCCACCTTCCCAGCCCCACTCTCACAATTTTCTAAACAGCGTGCAATATAAACACAGCTGAAGTCCTTTGATATCTATGATGAATAAGAACCCCATGTCTCTGGGACAATTATCTCATAATGACACCAAACATCTTACTGACTTGTTAAACTATTTCAACTATTTCATTACTTAGAAACTAATATCTAAGCCGGGCGCTGGTGGCTCACGCCTGTAATCCTAGCTACTCAGGAGACTAAGATCTGAGGATCGCGGTTCAAAGCCAGACCAGGCAGGAAAGACCGTGAGACTCCTATCTCCAATAAACCACCAGAAAACCGGAAGTGGCGCGGTAGCTCAAGTGGTAGAGTGCTCGCCTTGAGCTGAAGAGCTGAGGGACAGCGCCCAGGCCCAGAGTTCAAGCCCCACGACCGACAAAAAAAAAAAAAAAAAGAAGAAGAAAGAAACTAATATCTAATCCCTTCTTTAAAAAATATCAATTTCATTTTCTCCCTGTAAATCTAAAAGCACATAAAGTTTTTCTTGCTTAAAAGAAGTCCACTGGGCTGGGAAGGTGGCTCAGTGGTAGAGCGCTTGCCTTGCATGCATGAGGCCCTGGGGTCGATTCCTCAGCACCACATAAGCAGAAGAAAAAAAAAGTCCACATGGAGCAGGACACGGGTGGCTCACTCCTATAATCCTAGCTACTCAGGAGGCTGAGATCTGAGGATGTTGGTTCAAAGCCAGCTCGGGCAAGAAAAATCTTTGAAACTCTTATCTCCAATAAACCACTGGAAAACCACAAGTGGTGCTGTAGATCAAGTGGTAGAGCGTGGTAGAGCGCTAGCCTTGAGCTCAAGAGCTGAGGGACAGCGCTCAGGCCCGGAGTTCAAGCCCCACAACCGACCAAAAAAAAAAAAAAAAAAAGTCCACATGGAATGATAAATATTCAAATTAATTTCCTTGAAATTTCTGTTTCTAGTCTGACAATGCACTTCATCATTTAACCATTATGTATATTACAGCCATAGGATAAAAATATTAAAAGTCTACTGACATGAAAACGGCAGTACAGATGGGTACCAGTGGCTCACACCTGCAATCCTAGCTACTCTTAGGAGGCTGAGATCTGAGGATCCTGGTTCAAAGCCAGCCAGGGCAGGAAAGTTTGTTAGACTCTTATCTCCAATTAACCACCAAAAGCCAGAAGTAGAGCTGCGGCTCAAGTGGTAGAGCACTAGCTTTGTGAGAGCCCCAGGACTGGCACAGAAAAGATTAAAAAAAAAAAAAAAAGCCTGAGATTAGAGTTGCAGAGTATCAAGATCCTTCCACAGACTAAATATATTTTTAAATACCTGTGTCTGTAAAACTTTCATTGGCATCATCATTACCAGTATTTTACACTGAAGAAATCCAATTAGTCAGGAACTGGTGGCTCACACCAGTGATCCTAGCTACTCAGGAAGCTGAGATCTGAGGATCGTGGTTCAAAGCCAGCCTGGGCAGGAAAGTCCTTGAAACTCTTATCTCCAATAAACCACAAGAAAACCGGAAGTGGCGCTGTAGCTAAAGTGGTAGAGTGGTGGCCTTGAGCTGAAGAGTCCAGGGACAGCACCCTGGCCCAAAGTTCAAGCCCCACAACCGACCCCCCCCCCCCAAAAAAAAAAAAAGTTGTACCAATCACACATTAGTCTAATTCTGACCCTCCAGAACTTTCCCAGACAGGAAACCAAAGGAAGGGAGCTATCCATGATGAAAACAATGCCTAGTTATCCAATAAGTAACTCATTAAGTTTGAAAATGAGTTCTACTTACAGCTGCACGTCGAACATAAACTGGATGAGAAAGGTGCACATTATTAAGCAGAAATAAGATGGAGTCCAATGTGTAGTATTCTCTGGGCTGGCCTTCCTTCCCGGTCCTGCAATAATTAAGCCAAGATTTATTTTTATTTATTAGCACTTGAACTTAGGTCTTGGGCACTGTCACTGAATTTTTTGCTAAAATCTAGTGCTCTACCATTTGAGCCTCAGCTTCACTTTCAGCTTTTTTGGTGCTTAATTGGAAATCAGAGACCCATGGAGTTTCCCACCCAGGCTGGCTTCAAACTGTGCTCCTCATATCTCAAGCCTCCTGAGTATCTTGGATAAGAGGCATGAGCCATTGGCACACAGAGAGGGAAGATTTTTATTCACAATTCACATTCAATTCTCAGGGCTTAATTGCACATATTCTCTTAGCTATACCCATTTAAGCTATCAGAGTATTTAACGTTTTTCTAAAAATACATATAAACTATAAAATTTAATAAGTGGGCTGTCAATAGGGGAAAAAGAACACAAAGGAAGACAAAACAAAATAGAAACACCTTTTACGACTACTTAAAAGTAATTTTTTAATGCAAGAAATAGAGGAAGACCTGGCGGAAAAAGGGGTGACACTGTCCCCAAAAAAGAAATGTACTAATTACCTGACTTATGAAATGGTAACTCTTCTATACAACACCTTAATAATAATAATGAGCCCTGTTGTTGGAAGTGGTAGAGGGCTAGCCTTGAGCAAAAGAGCTCAGGAACAAAACTCCCCCCCCCCCCACCCGCCTGCCCCAAGGGAAGGGAAGGAGAAAGGGAGAAGACAGACTACACTGAAGCAAAGGCACCAGTGATGGTAAATCCTAGCTACTCAGGAGGCTGAAATCTGAGGATCAAAGTTCAAAGCCAGCCCATGCTGAAAGTCTGTGAGACTCTTATCTCCAATTATCCATCAAAGAGCCACAAGCAGTGCTGTGGCTCAAAGTGGTAGAGCACTAGCCTTAAGCACAGAGCTCAGGGACAGCACTCAGACCCTGAGTTCAAGCCCCATGACCCACAAAAAAAAAACGATGATAATAATAAAATTGCATTAAAAGGCACAAGAAATAGGGGAAGCAAATAAACATACTCTAAAGTACTATTATATACTTCTTCCTAGAATTAGTCCAAATTAGGCTCTGGACTTTGTCAATAGAGAAACTAACCTTTTACACACTGGAAAGTATCCTTATGAGAAAAGGACCAAACTGTTAGTGTAGCACTAAGGCTTTTTAAATAAAATACTGCTGAACAACATGTTCTTAATAACACTGTTACAGTAAACACAAGGTCAGAGACTGTAAGCATGGCCTGAGCCTGTAATTGCCACCAGGAGAGGCAAATAGAGGATCACGACCCAAGGCAATCCCCCAGGGAGAAACACGAGATCCCATGCAAATATTAAGTAATGGAAAAGGGCTGAAGGTGTGTCTCAAATAGGAGTTCCTGTCTAGCAAGCTCAAGGCCTTGAATTCAAACCCAATATCAACAAAAAATAAACGTCAAGGTTGTCTTGGGGGAGCAAACTTTGCATTGTAAATACATACATACATACATGCATATACACACACACACACACACACACACACATACACACATACATATATCACCCAAGGTCCCTATCACCCTTCCTCCTACATCTATTCATCATAACTCAAATTTATTATGAGTTTATCTACATACAGCCCACTATAATGAACTCCATGTCTACTTTTCTGGCCTCTACCATCACTTTTCCTGAACGTCAATGTGCTTCAACCCACATATCATTTGCAAGAGTTTTGTTGTTGTTTTGGTTTCTTTTTTTGGTGCTAATACTAGGACTTAATTCAGGGCCCTTATCTTTTTGGCACAAGGCTAGCGCTGCACCACTTGAGCCACAGCTCCTTAAACATCTGTCAATTATTGTACAAAATAATTTAACCAGGTTTTTTCCTTATCATATAGACTGCAAAAAGGCATTTTTTTGCGGGGGGGGGGGGGGGGGGGGGCGGGAGGGGGGTAGGAAGCAGAACCAGTCCCAAGGCTTTGAACTCAGGGCCTGCGCACTGTCCACAATGCCACTTCTGGCTTTTTCTGTGTATGTGATACTGAGGAACAGAACCCAGGACTTCATGCATGCTAGGCAAGCACTCTACCAGTAAAAAGCCACATTTCTAGTGCCCCCCCAAGGCATTTTTAATATTATACTACATAGGCACCCATGCACACGGGTGTACATGCCTACAGAAAATTAACTGTGTGATTCACTGTTGAGAAAGTTTGAAAATGGCTGAAGCATTCCTTGTTCACTGGCACCAATGAACTGCTGTCAAACGTCCTCTCCAGCTCTGGTGCTTCTAGTAATACAGCTCTGTCCCCCTGGAAGACTAGTTCACCATCTCACTTTCACGGAATTCTTAGCTGGTGTGTGTGTGTGTGCACGCGCATGCACTAGGAGAGGACAGGGGTGGTTGAACTCAGGGCATGGGCACTGTCCCTGAGCTTTCCTGCTCAAGGCTAGGGCTCTACCACCTGAGCCACAGCTCCCCTTCCAGCTGGTTAATTGGAGATAAAAGACGCACAGACTTTTCTACCCAGGCTGGCTTGGAACTGTGATCCTCAGGTCTCAGCCTCCTGATTGGCTGGGCTGATAGGCCTGAGCCCAGTTCTTCCTGGTTCTTTGCTGGTATTTGCTCCCCGGGTTAGGGTGCAAGCATCAAACGCAGCCCCCCGCGTGGCCCAGATGTGTCCAGGCTGGAACTGGACGGCGTTTCACACCATAGTACCAGATTTCTCTCTTCTATTCAATTTAGGGGTGCTGAGGATTCCTCCGTTTCTCAGGTTCAACCACTTTACACCTTAATAACACTTTAACCAACTCTAAACACGCGTGTGCGCGCGCACACACCCATCGACTACGATCCCGTCTCTGCCATTTCCTTTAAAAGCATCAAACACAGGAAACTCAGCGTGTCATTTAATCAACATTTCATAAAGCAATCGTCCAGGCAAAAGCGAGGGGGAAGGGGAGGGGGGACCCCCGAACCCCAAAACCCGCCCCCCCCCAGTTTTCCATGGACTGTCCAAAAAGCTCCTTCCATTCCCCTCCCATTCCAACAAAATGGGGAGCCGAGCTCGGAACCGCATAAGCCCATGACAAGCGACATCATGGGAGAGGTCCCCCACGGGTGACCCCCACGGGAGACCCGGCCCCCACGGGTGACCCCCACGGGAGACCCGGCCCCCACGGGTGACCCCCACGGGTGACCCGGCCCCCACGGGTGACCCCCCCATGGGTGCCCCGCCCCCCACGGGTGCCCGGCGCCGGCTTCAGCTCAGCGGCGCGGGATCCTCCGCCCCCCCCTCCCCACCTGCCTTCCAAAACCCGGCGGGAAAGTTCGCCGCAGCCCGCCGCCAACTTTCTCCGGAGGAGCCCCGGCCCGGCCGGCCCGGCGCCCGCGCGGCCCCTTGCTTAACTCGGGGAGGGGGGGCGGCCGCCTCCTCCGGGACGCCGCGGGGGAGAGCGGGCGACCCCGGGGGCGCCCCCGGCCTGCGGGCAGCGGCCCCCCGCCCCGCGCCCGCCGCGGGCCCCGACGGTAACTTTCCCGGCGCGCGCCCCCGCGGGCCCCGGCCCCGACGGCCGGGGGGGGGGGGGGAGGCCGCGGAGCCGGCCCCGCGCGCCCCGGCCCCGCCGCACCGCGGCCCGGCCCGACTCACCCCCACACCACGTAGTTGGTCTTGACGTTCTTGGGCCAGGAGAACTCGCCGAAGATCACCTCGTCCCCCTTCACCACGATCTCCTTCTTCTGGATGTTGTACTGTCGCAGGACGCTGAGCACGTCCGCCATCTTCCCCCCCCTCGCCGCCGCCCGGCCCGGGCGCCGCCGCCGCCGTCAGCGCGCCGGCCGCCGCCTCCCCGCGTCGCCTCGGCCTGGGCCTCCGCCGCCGCCGCCGCCGCCGCCGCCGCCGCCGCCGCCGCGAGCCGAGAGCCGCCGCACCAACAGCCGCCCCCCGTCGACGACAGCAGCAGGGGCAGTCGCCGCCCAGGCCGCCGAGGACCCCGCGCTGAAGGCGAGGCCCCGCCGAGGGCTGCCCGCCGAGAACGCCTGACTGCGCGTCGCCGGCGCCCCGCCGCCGCCGCCGCCGCCGCCAGGAGGCGCTGCGCCCGCCTGGGGAAAATGCCCCTCCCAGACTCCCACACGGCTCGCGGCGGACTCCCCCGCCCGAAACGTGGAGCGCAGGAAACCACGCCCCCCCACGGGCGGCACGCGCGCTCTCGGGGAAGCGCTGGCTGGCGTCGGGCGCGCACGCGCGCTAAGAGGACGTACTCGCGGTCCAGGGGAGAGCGTCCGGGCGGCGCCAGGTGCGCGCGCACCGGCTGGTCACCGGGCGCGCAGACTCCGAAGTGTGCCGTTTGTCTTCCCGTTTGGCAAACGCAAAATGCTGCCGGAGTGTCTGCTCCACGGACGTTCTCACCTCTCCAGCCCGAGCACGTGCACACCGTGGCATGCATGCCAGAACTACGCGTCAGTGCTTTGTCTGCATTTTGTGCAGTCCGGGGACTTGAACTCGGGCCTGGGCGTCACCTCTGAGCCTTTTTGCTCACCTTCACCATCAAGGTGATGTGCACACGGATTGCTCACCTTCACCATCAAGGTGATGTGCACACGGATTGCCCACCTGTACCATCAAGGTGATGTGCACACGGAGTGCTCACCTGTACCATCAAGGTGTTGTACACACGGATTGCTCACCTGTACCATCAAGGTGATGTACACACGGATTGCCCACCTGTACCATCAAGGTGATGTACACACGGATTGCCCACTTGTACCATCAAGGTGATGTGCCCACGGATTGCTCACTTGTACCATCAAGGTGATGTGCCCACGGATTGCTCACTTGTACCATCAAGGTGATGTGCACACAGATTGCTCACCTTCACCATCAAGGTGATGTGCACACGGATTGCTCACCTGTACCATCAAGGTGATGTGTACACGGATTGCTCACCTGTACCATCAAGGTGATGTGCACACGGATTGCTCACCTGTACCATCAAGGTGATGTGCACACGGATTGCTCACCTGTACCATCAAGGTGATGTGCACACGGATTGCTCACCTGTACCATCAAGGTGATGTGCACACGGATTGCTCACCTGTACCATCAAGGTGATGTGCACACGGATTGCTCACCTGTACCATCAAGGTGATGTGCACACGGATTGCTCACCTGTACCATCAAGGTGATGTGTACACGGATTCCTCACTTGTACCATCAAGGTGATGTGCACGCAGATTGCTCACCTTCACCATCAAGGTGATGTACACACGGATTGCTCACCTGTACCATACAGGTGATGTGCACATGGATTGCTCACCTGTACCATACAGGTGATGTGCACACGGATTGCTCACCTGTACCATCAAGGTGATGTGCACACGGATTGCTCACCTGTACCATCAAGGTGATGTGCACACGGATTGCTCACCTGTACCATCAAGGTGATGTGCACACGGATTGCTCACCTGTACCATCAAGGTGATGTGCACACGGATTGCTCACCTGTACCATCAAGGTGATGTGTACACGGATTGCTCACTTGTACCATCAAGGTGATGTGCACGCGGATTGCTCACCTTCACCATCAAGGTGATGTACACACGGATTGCTCACCTGTACCATACAGGTGATGTGCACATGGATTGCTCACCTGTACCATACAGGTGATGTGCACACAGATTGCTCACCTATACCATAAAGGCGAAGTGTACACAGATTGCTCACCTTCACCATCAAGATGATGTGTACACGGATTGCTCACCTGTACCATACAGGTGATGTGCACACGGATTGCTCACTTTCACCATCAAGGTGATGTGCACACGGATTGCTCACCTGTACCATCAAGGTGATGTGCACACGGATTGCTCACCTTCACCATCAAGGTGATGTGCACACAGATTGCTCACCTGTACCATCAAGGTGATGTACACACGGATTGCACTTACCTAAGTTATCTCCTGTTCTTGACATATTTATTAGTCGAGGGTTAGCTCATTGATTGATGGCCATAACTGGAGAGAATACCTGCCATCAGATTGGGCCTAATTTTGAGGTCATGTTAAATAACTGGCAGAAGTGCTCTATTTCAGTTGAGTTTTGAGTGTGTCATTTGATAGAAGTTTGGTCCCCAGTGTGGTGGTGTTGAGGGAGTGATAAATTGCTTGAGAACCTTCAGAAGCTACAAATTCATTTATATCTTTTGCTTTTTTAAAAACCATGTGTGTGTCTGTGACAGTAAGCCAAGTGTGAACTCAGGTCCTAGTGCTTCTGCTTCACTTGTTCACTCGAGAAAAGCTACACCTCCACTTCTGGATTTTTTTTTCTGTTTAACTAGGGATCAGAGTCTCCCTGATTTGTCTGCTGATCCAGCCTCAAACTGTGGTCCTCAAATCTTGCTCTGCTGAGTATTAAAGGTGTAGCATTTAAGAGTGTAAACTTTTTTTTAAAATTCTGCTAAAAACCTGTGTGCTGCTGGTGGTTCCTTTCTCATTCAAGCAGGTCAAAGAAGCCGGGCATGGTGAGAATAGGGCTCTTGCTTTACAATAGACTCAGCAGGAGGCTACAGCACAAATGGACTCCATATCTCTGCCCATCACAGTGTAGACTTGCAGAACCTGCACCCTATGAACCTGTTCACCAACCTGTTCACCAACTTGTCCCTGCTTCTGTGTTTTCATTAGGCAATAGCAGCATCTGGCCAAAACATGGCCTCAAGGCTACCTGCACACATGACTCAAGATTATCTGAACATGCAGAATGAGTTGAATCACGCATAGACCTTAGAGAGTGCAGGCCCAGAGCGCTCTGCACGTCTTGATTGGGAAGCCTGACTTACTCTAGGCACATACCTAGTATCTCTGCTACAGGGAGCACAGGGGCAGGCCTAGTGGTGATTACCCATCTTCCCCAGTGACACTGGAGAAGCACAAGGACTGCACCCCAAATCTTCCCCAGCATAAAGTGAGAAGAATCAGCCAAGGCAAAGGGGCCTGGGGGCATGGCTCAAGTGGTATATTATCTGCCTTATAAGCACAAGGGCCTGAATTTAATCCCCCAGTAATCTCAAGTTTTTTTTTCCCAAAAGTTGTACAAAAATGGTTATGTGGGGCTAGTACTGTAGTTCAGTGGTAAGAATTAGGCTTATTAAATTTCTTTTTTTTTTTTTTTTGGGTCCGGTCGTGGGGCCTGAACTCTGGGCCTGAGCACTGTCCCTCAGCTCTTCAGCTCAAGGCTAGTGCTCTACCACTTGAGCCACAGTGCCACTTCCAGTTTTTTGCTTTCTGCTTATGTGGTGCTGAGGAATCGAACCCAGGGCCTCAGGCATGCAAGGCAAGCACTCTACCACTGAGCCAACTTCCCAGCCCTAGGCTTATTAAATTTCAGTCCCCAGCACCAAAGAAGGAAAGAGGAAGGGAAGGGAAGGGGAGGGGAGGGGAGGGGAGGGAAGGGAGGAAGGAAGGCAGGCAGGCAGGCAGGCAGGCAGCACATGGAACCATCCAGAGAAGATTAGCATGGTCCCTGCACAAGGATTGAGACACAAATTCATGAAGTAGGGCTGGGATGTAGCTCAGTGGCAAAGCGCTTGCCTAGCAAGTGCAACATCCTGGGTTCGATCCCCAGTACCAAAAAAGAAAAGACAAAAAAAAAATTCATGAAGTGATCCTCAAGAAAATGTGGAATAAATACACAATGGAATTTTACTCACCTGTTAGGAAAAAAACGATATAACACTTGCAAAAGAAATGGATGAGCCGGGTGCCAGTGGCTCACATCTGTAATCCTAGCTACTCAGGAGGCTGAGATCTGAGGATCACGGTTCAAAACCAGCCCAGGCAGGAAAGTCCGTAAGACTTATCTCCAATAAAACCACTAGCAAACCAGAAATGGCCCTGTGGCTCAAGTGGTAGAGCGCTGGCCTTGAGCTGAAGAGCTGAGGGACAGTGCTCAGGCCCGGAGTTCAAGCCCCACAACTGACAAAAAAGAAAAAAAAAAAAAGGATGGACATGGAAGAAATTATGTTAAGTGAAGAAACAAGGCCTCATGTCTTCTCTCATATATGGGAGTTAGATCTAATTTATAAATGTATATATATGGAAACAAATGCAGGGTTGTATTGTTGTATGGGAATTCAGTCGTGAGAAACAGAGAAGCCACATTTTAAGTGGTTGAATTGGAAGTCTATTGGAGAGCCAGCGACTACAGGTGAACTCCTGTTTCGAAGATCTGCAGCCCACAAAGCTTTTAAAAGACAAGAGCCACATGTTTGGGATGGAGGCCCAAACCCAACAGAAGCAGACCGCATAGGGAAATGCAAAACTTTCTATCTAGGAAGTAGCTCAGGGGCTCAGCTAGACTTTTCACACAGGGAGATACTCAGAGGCGAGCAAATCAAACCATTTAGGGAAATAGGCAAACATTTCTCTGTAGCACAGCTCTTCTGATGTCTGCAATTCAATGAATGGTCCATCTCACCCCTAGGCTTTTGGAAGCTGAGTGAAAGCCTCTACCACCCAACAAGGCACCAGGACAGCTGTGAGACAAGGTGATGTTGCATTGACCCAGTTTCTGTACTTCAGAATGCACAAGTACACAAGCATATTAACCAAAGTATGGTATATACAAGTAACTCACTGTCTTATAAAATGAAAAGCAGGAAACTGGTGTGTGTTAGGGGACTTAAGCTGGAGGGAAGGCAATAGGAGGAGGGCATACAAATGAAGAGAGGATCGGGAAAGAATACAGCAAAAGTATCCGATACATATTCTATGAAACTAGGAAAATTGAGGGCATGATGGGTAAGGACGATGATGGAAGAGGTGATTCTGATCAAGAAGCATTGCGGTTATAAGCTGACGCGTTGAATTGTAACCCCCTTTGTACAACTACTTAAAGACAATTAAAAAATGAGGAAAGAAGGAAGGAAGTGGGGGTGGGGATTATGGACCCATTTGTTCCTAGGTTCATTATAGGAGTCAATTTTTTTTGCCAGTCCTGGGGCTTGAACTCGGGGCCTGAGCACTATTCCCTGAGCTTCTTTTGCTCAAGGCACTACCACTTGAGCCACAGCACCATTTCTGGGTTTTTTTGTGTGTATGTGGTACTGAGGAACCACACCCAGGGTCTCACGCATGCAAGGCAAGCACTCTACCACTAAGCCACATTCCTCTACAAGAATCAATTTATATGCAAAAGATTCCCAAGTCGTCTTGTTTTCTCTTGATTTATTAGGGTCCTGTGTGCCTCCTTTGATTACCAACACTCGGTGAGGGGCTCAGGAGAACATCATGCTCCAAGTGTTGGCGCCAGTGGAGATCTTGACGACAAAGCCTGCCTTCCTCTTCATCGAGGAGGTCTGGGGGTTGGAATGAGCCATCATAGATGCCCTATTAGGTTTAACCTTTACAGTGATCAGCTTGACTAGTCTTTGGTCTATGTTTGAC